AATCTATCGATATCGGAACACTACGCCAAAGAGCTGTCACACAAACTGACTGACCAGAATCAAGTTGAAGAGGACCTTAATGTATATATTTTCCTGAAGAAGATTRTTTATATCAAACGACGAGACTAGAAAGAACTAAGAAAATCATTTAAACTAGGACTTACCGATCTAAACGAGGTTAGATCTCCGATATAAAAGCCCTTGGCTGTATAAATTCAGGGTCAATTTATGTGCAGAGAACCGGCTAGGAATTTTAGCGTCATAAACGTCCAGATTGTTCGTGATCTTAACCAGAAACCACCCTGTGAGTGAAAAGCACTCGTAGCCTAGTAYTTSTCAAAAGCSTTGGACACAGTCAKTYACACAATGCTTCGATGAAAAARCTCTAWAGAGAGAACAAGCCTCGCTTTTTACYTTTAACTKTAATATCTCGAAAATCTCACAGCCRTCCGAAWGWGTTTCTWTAACCTCGTACGCTGATGAATGCATGATATTGACGTCGGACAATGGAATCGATGGCACGTGTTCAAACAAGCTAAACAGCTATTTCAACGACCTTTCTTGCTTCCTCTCTGTCTTTTCCCCACTAAATCCACAGCGACCATATTSACTGGACTGGACGAAGGAGTATAGACTTGATCTTAATGTTGCAGTCGAAGGCGTCAAGATTCCCACTGTCAATAATACTAAAATTTTAGGTATGACTTTTGACAGTCCTCATATGACCACGATTATAGCCAAAGTACAAAGCCGTAACAAATACTGTCAGAATACTGCACTCCGAACTACGACGGTATGCCTTTTGATGTCGCCTATCGAACACCTGCATAGTGAGGTCSGTATGCTCCCAGTAAAGGWGCAAATTGAAMTTCTCTTCAGGGAGTTTCTRCTGGGATGCTTTCGAAGAAATCATTCTTGCAGTCGCCACTTTGAAGCRGAACCGCCTCSTWWGAACATCRAAARATYATTCCTCAACTACGTCGAYGACATTAGACAATACTCCGATCAAACTTCGGACRCAACAAACTTCCGACAWGCACTGAGGAGYTATCAACACCTTCACCGACGTCATTCGAGTGAATATCGTATTCTGAGTCAAAACGAGAGGGACCCTTATGCACCTTGGTTTTGGATGCAGGTTAAACTCCTACTTATCCAGAATATATAAAATATGACCTACGTGCAAAGAGTCTCCTTATAAGACTGGCCACTTTTTTGCATGCCCCACCAACCCTACTCATCTSACACCCCTCTCCCTTTGGTCCGACCCAGTTGAGACAGCACGTTTCTTGGACCTGCCGTTGGATGACGTCGACGAAAACTTAGTTAATCCCATCCTAACGGGGACTAGGTTCCCGCTAAAACAACAACAACAACAACAACAAGAAAATTATTTACAGTTGAATGCAAACCTTTGTCCGATATCGTCTTCAGATATCGCTGTACAAATAGTCGCGCCAAGAAATGCAACTGTGAAACGTATTTCAATTTAGCGTTAAAATTTTTGCATATTTTGATTATGTTTTCTTTCCTACCATCCATTACTGAACTCRGGGGCTGCTAATAATGCTTTAGACTATATTCTGGAACAAGTCTATGAGATATCTTGGACTCAAGGGATTCAGCGTCAGATCTTAAGTTTTGGTGCATTATATCGAAAATAAAATCAGATTTTATGTCTCAATGGCTGACTAAGATAAGCACTAATACGAGCGTATTAACGTTCCAGCACGATCGAAGTCATAAACTTCAACTTATTGGGGTTCAATAGTGGACAATAACCTTACTTCATTCCCACAGTGACAGCTGGATTGGTTTGATGGTTTTAGGTCTCAAAAATAGCTGTTATGTTTGTTACTTCATAGTCAAASACTGAGTTATCTGTAAGAGAGATGAATTTCGGTAATCCGTTAAAAGAATGTTCTTGCTCAACTTTAAACTAATTTTTCGACTGTAGATCGCACATCCCACACTTAAAACGAAGATATTCTACCCGATTTGAATGGCCTTTTTTGATGAGGTGAATGATTAGTATGTTGTTTTTAATCTTGCTTTCTGGTGTTTTTGCCTCTATCTAGATGTTCAAATTAATCTTCGGTCTTTACTCAGGTGTATGGATTGGATACTTGATAGGCAATATAATATAATAACTATAATCTGCCTACTCTTAGGTCCAAGTGTGCTGCAAACATACTGCAATGATGTGAAGCGCATATAAAAGTGAAAAGTTGGCGCTAGTTTTTAAAAGTAAATCTAAAATGAAATATTTCTGCCTTAAAAYATCAAATAATGTTTGAGGTCCCTGCGGCACAAAGAATTTGCTTCGTCTTTTTTAATGAAACCGAGTCAWTGCCGCCATTCGCCCTTCTACGCCAATTAGTACGYTCAKTMATTTTTATTTGTCTTCAACTCAGTTTTGCCCTCAATTTTTTATTTTACTTTCCACTTGTGTTCGCTCTTATCGACGCTGTGCCAACTAATCTGAAAAATTCTTTTCGTCCGAGAAGCGCACATGGTGCTGTTGCTTGAGGCGTACTGCCGGTACAGGGCGTAACGCACCGGCCGACATGAACGTCGTCGTCGTCGTCGTCGTTGTCGCCGTCGACGTTGCTGAAGCTGAGGCAGCTGCCTTTGCCGCCACTACGGCCGCTGCTGCCTTGGCGACCTCATTTGCTCGCATACCCGACCAAATGTTGCCACCACTATCGACGCTGTTGTTGGTGCGATTTGGTGGTTGCCATGTCCGGCTGTGACCAGCGTCATTACCACCGACTGCCAACCGGCCCTGYCCTGTTATCACGTTCATTTGTTTGTACGCGTTTCCTGTCATCCGTTSGCGCTTTACTGTTACTGTTTCGTTGCCTTCACTTCCGTCGGATGTCTTTTCGTGTCCTTCGGTGCACGAGAGTGTTGGCGAGCCGGAAGTGGTCGGCGATGATGAGGTCCATTGCTCGTCGCAGGAGCAATAACCGCGYGCCGTGTCGCCACCCTCCAAGGCGAGCGAGTGCAGTTCATGTAGTTTTCGCAGTTTTTGTTGTTGCCGCTTATAAGCTGCGGCCACTGAGGCGCTGACACCGGCTGCGGAAATCATTTGCTCAGCTTGCGATTGTTGTTGTTGCCGTTGCTGTTGTGCGTGCTGCCTGTGTGGTGGTTGTTGTTGTTGCTGGTAAGCCGCTCCTGTGTGCTCTGAAATTTTTGGCTGGCCTGTCGTCGTGCTTGTGCTTTTTATTGGCGACTGCTGATGCTGTTGTAGTTGCTGTTGTTTCTGTTGCTTATTTAATACTTTTGCTGATGCGGCGGCAGCTTGATTTGGCGACAGCATTGGAAGCGGTGGCGTTGTGGCCGGTGACATTGATGCTACAGACACCATCGATGCCGAATGCGCGAATTGCAGGCGTTGCAGAGCGATCGATTGCTGGCAGAATGGTTGTGCTTGGCCGTATATGTCTACCTCTTCTTCCTTTTCGACCTGTTCATTTGCGGTGAAATCCTCTTCGTGCATGTCCGTATTCAGCTTATCACTTGAGCTGTTGTAATGAAAGAGAAAAAAAACCAGGATGAGATACATTTCTATATAAGCAGAATGAGTAGCAGCTTTTGTGCAATTTCATAATTATTTTCTAAAGGTTCTTAGTTGGAATCTCTTCTTTTAATTGCAGTTTAAAGTAGCTCCAGAAGTTACTACTGGTTTTCAAAAGTTTTCGTTTTTTTATGAATCTACGCTCTGAAAAAGGAACTGTCGTAAGAGCACTCTCTTATGTAATTCCTTTCAATAAAGACTATCTTACTTTTCTCACAGAAGTGAGGGACCTTTACTCCTTGGCTGGGTGTAGCTTCGGAGGCATTGCTAATTTTGAAGTTTAAAACTATCAATATAAAGACTACATAACTATATGACAATAGCAAAGATGTAAGTCTGTAGAGACAATGTTACAAAGTTAGGTTGGATGAAGAGGTCGATCCTAATAGGGATTTCACTTGGACAGCTAAGAACGCCGATCTATTCTGTTGCTTGAAATTCTATATACTAAAATTCCATACAAGACCCTTAAAAATTAACAAATTTGTTAAGACGGCTAATATCCGTTTTGGCTAAGTCTTCTGATAAGACTAAGATAAGACTAGACGGAGGTGTTTCAGCTTCAATACTGTAAAGACTTAACAATGGAGGATAGAGTGTAAAAGGATCTCGAATTCTTAGTCGGCCAGCGCTTGGTAAGTACACGCACCAGAGGTAGAATGTAAGAGGCCAATGAAGATCCAACCCATTCTGATATGAGCGAAGTAAGTGTGTCGCCCTCTGGATAGCTGATCGGCTTTACTAACGTGGACCTTGCTACAAAAAACCCTTTCTCCAACCTTCCCTTCTAGTTTCGAACAATCCGTCTCTTCTCCAGCGACTTCTCCCAATGCACATATTCCTCGTCGGTATGTGAGCAGAGAAAAAGATTTCATAAGCGGCCTCTACCACGCAATAGTCCAAGTTTTCAGGTTGAAGGAAAATAGAATGTTGGCCTGCCCTTGTTCGAACACCTCCGAAAGTGGCATGTTTGGGCTCCTAAAAAATTAAACCATTTCTGCTTTATTTGGGTAGACGGCTAAGACGCTTCTATACGCTCAGTTGGGTACTACGTTGCAGTACCCTTCTGTAGATGGTATTTAGACATTTTTCTTGAACCATAAGAATAACATGGCTGTTTTTGGGGCGGAAGAATTCTTGGTGTATGCCAATGTATGTCAGCACCCGACAGCCTCGTTTCCGAGTTTTTTTAGTCTGTCGTCAACCAACAAAACTTAAAGCAGTGGAAATTTGTTTCGATTCTGAGAGATGCCCTATTAAGCTTTCGGGATGTATTTGCGGAGTGGTACACTGCGATCGTTTGCTCACAAAAGGCTCGATTCCAATTCAAACTTTTCCCGTAAGGGACTCTAGCTTTTTCTGTGAATACATCTCGTGAAATAAAAAAGTTTTTCTTGCAAGGTCTTGATTGTGATCGATCAGTTTGTATGACAGATAAATGCTATAGTGGTTCGGAGTAGTCGGTTCCGACATATAAGCAGACTATTTGAGAGAAAAGAAGAAGCGTATCTCCAAAATTGAGAAAATAATTAGTATACAGACTAACGGAAAAATCGACCAAGGAATAAGAATAAAACGAATCACCTCATCTTGCTGACCATTTATAAGAGTATATATTTTATATAGGTTCTCCCGTTACCCAGTTGAGTGTTACAAACTTCCTGGCAWGCTTTATATACCCTGTTCAGAGTGGAAATATTTAATGAGCACTGTGTGTATTATATATCATTTTTGTTTACTGTAAGTTCTGGCTGTGTTTCCTTGGGCAAACTTACTCTTTCAGGTAAACTGGTACCGTAAGACAAACACACAGGTATAAATTTACAGTTATATACGAGTTGTTATGGCTGTCGCATGCTCATTAAAGCAGTAAGCAAAAGAACAAATGAAAAAAAATTAATGAATTAATGAGAATACGAGTTAAAGCTCACAGCGTAAAGAAAACCAGCAAGGTAAATATAACGGTGCACAGTTAACATTCGCGTGGACATACAAATATACATATATATATGTCAGGTTGCTGTTACACTGCTGATGAGCATACAGAGAAATTATACGTATTTCGTTTGTTTCTCAAACTGGTTTAAAATTCTCCACCGGTTTATAAATTCCGTCGAATATAATATAGTTTGGGGAAGACTAAATGTATAACGATGCCTTAGTGACTACGTTAAACCTCGTACGTTTTAAGATTTTAAAATATAGCTTCCTAATACTAATACTCCGKATTTTAAGCATTAAAGTCGCAGTCCCAGTACCACAAAATTATCATATCCCACGCATTTCCAAGTGCTACTAAATGTAATCGCAGCATACCAGATATTTTCTTACAGTGTTTACAGTTTGCGTGCACTGTTTTCAGCGAACATAACGGAGTGTTTAACGACAGCTGATGCAGCGATTGGTATGCAAGGTATGTGAAATTAAGCTGCTGCAGTGGCAGTCGCAAATTATGATTGTCTTACGGCAAGCCGACGCAGCTGGCATGGTCTGAGTTAAGAAAAACGAAAGCGTAAATATCATATTGCCCATATGTACACTATATATGATACGTAACAGATGAACAAAAATCACTATTGAAATGTGAACATATATCGGAATGCAAAGCCATTATGCGATGGTAAAATTTTCGTATGGAATTATGTTCACGGTCCTTGTCATGTCTACCCCATGAAGTTGCTGAGAATATTTAAGGCAATTAGTTGCAAAAAAGACATATGCCGTACAACAACAATAATGAATATGAAAATACAATAAATTGAAGCTGCGTTGATACCGAGTGGTTAACAGTGGCTGATGTGGTCTACCAATAATATTTTCCGACTGAAACGGTTGAGTTGACGAGTTGAAATAATGAGCTTTGCCGGCCGTTTCATATACTCACACAGTGTGCATAATTTTATATTTCTTATCATTTATAATTGGCGTAATTTTGATTATCTTAAAGGTATTATGGAGCAAAAATTACATTAGTTGGATAGAAAAAAAAAACTTCCTAGGTAGTTGGAAGTGCTTTGCAAACCCTTACAGCAGATGGCGACAATAATCTTAATGTACGTGAAATTTCTCTAAGCACTCCAGAAATCTGCGAAATAAACACAAAACGATCACAAATTTCGAGAGGAAACAGCTTTCCGAAGGCACCTGACATTTATTATCATGCTTTAGCTGCGCCAACTATTTTACTTTCATGATTTACTTTTCCCTTGCCGCAATTAAACGAATTTTCAGGCATAAAAATAAAAGCCACAAAACTTACGTATTCTGTTTGCCTCTTAAYAAATTTCCTGCAATGCGCATTTTCTCATAATTGCTCCTCTGCTCACGAGCGCCTTATTTTCTTTGGCCGGCTGCTGTTCGTCAGGCAGTGGAAACGCTTGCAATGTTGCACGTAACGTGCTGCCATACAGTTACCCAATCACTGTCGCCGCCACAAAGAGTTTGTTAATTTTGCCTGCAGGCTGACAACTCTGTGTCTCTGATTGGTTCCTTCGGAGAGCACTAATTGATAAAGCGTACACTGGATGAGCGCCAAATAAGTTAACGCGATTTTATGCGTAAGTTTAATATCGCAGACGTGATTGCGGATGATAAGGCAATAATGGAAGATAAATTTCATACATAAATTGAACCAAAGTTATAATTTATATTTTCATGGCTATTTGGCTTTCTTCCTCCGTTGTCAGTTGGCTGATTTTCGTGGAATTCGATSTGATAAGTTGTCAAGTTGTCTTAAATTACCTGAAACAGCGTATGTCGCCGCTGATTCGTCAAAAGTAATACGCTTTTATAGTAGTTCGCAGCCTTGATCTAGAGATGCAAAGATGAGAACCGAGCCAGTTGGTAATTTTTCATTCTTTTGCTTGACGAGTTGCAATCAGAAATCAGAAATTCTCATTCTAACTGATTGACTCTATGAGCTTCTCAGAGATTTTGGCTGAGATCACAAGGGTATCAGGTGGCTCCACAAGCTCACAACAAAACCATCTCACTCTCCTACTTAGTGCTTAAGGATGGTTTTTTTGCCACTGCCAAATAATACTGTCGAGAACTAAAGATTTTTAGCGCTAGAGAGTGAGAACTGTATGCTTTTGGTTAAGAAATCCAAATAGTTCCAAATAGTTTCTCCAAACTGTTTCTCCTAGGATGCTTTTGTAGAAACCGTTCTTGCAGTAACCTCTTTGAATTGGTTGGAACATTAGAACCTCATTTCTTGATAACGTCGAGCACATTGCACACTTWACAGAGCACATTGCAGGTGCAACTAAGTTCAGACATGCACTGAATGATATTCACCGTCGTTTCCAAGGCATGCGGGCCCAATTAACCGGCACTGACCCAAATTWTTACCCGTCTCGCAACTGTCAACTCGTCAGCATTTCTTGAAATTACTTCAGGAAAATTTCACGCTCCCACGATAGTCGGGCGCAATTAACCGACACGAACTCGGATTTTTACCCGTTCAACGACTGTCATCTCGGCACCATTTTTTTGAAGTTAGTTCAGGAAATTTTTCTGCCGCTACAACAAAAGTCACTCTCTTTCAGTGAATGACCTCCTTCAGAGTCAAATCACCAACCTTAGTAGAAGAGGAGGACAAGAGAGTAGCAGCTCGAGTTGCTGCGTCAATATAGAGTTATTCTTRTGCAACTTCGTTCTTARTACTGTAACTGGTTAAAGTCTTATTTAGCCAAAATTGACCCTGAAAAGTTCAAACTACGGCCTGTATACAATGAGTCTCAACTTTGAGCTTCGTAACGAAATCAGCTGTAAGATTGGCGGCTTTGTGTAAATTTTCCACATGAACCTTCACCACATACGAGTRCGCTTTAACTGAAAGTTAAGGTTTCCAGTCATACTGAAGGAAGAAGTATAGATTTAGGAGGATTCATAGCGGAACTTTCAACTGGGGTCCAGGCCACAAGGGCGTTTGTGAAAACAAAATAT